CGGAAATACTTAAAATGTTTGTAATCGTCCCCATATTTTACGAAATATTGATTGGCGCCAGAAGATGGAACAGTGTTTCCGAAACATATGTAGTGCCTGTACTTAAATTTTATAAACACAATAAAAACGACAGAATAAACCAGTGAATTTTTTATTAATACAAAATTCTACTACGGTTAGGAAATCATTTTTTTTTTTCAAATTAAAAGATGGGTGCATGACCTAATTGGTCGGAAATGGTTCGCTCTGCAATATGTTTATATTGCAAAAACTTGTTGGCTATAGGATTTCAGTGTTTCAGAAAAATGTCGCATAAGTTGTCACATAAGTGTCATGAACCCAGAAGAAGAAGAAGAAGAAGAGAAGAAGAAGAAGAAGAAGAAGAAGAAGAAGAAGAAGAAGAAGAAGAAGAAGAAGAAGAAGAAGAAGAAGAAGAAGAAGAAGAGAAGAAGAAGAAGAAGAAGAAGAAGAAGAAGAAGAAGAAGAAGAAGAAGAAGAAGAAGAAGAAGAAGAAGAAGAAGAAGAAGAAGAAGAAAGAAGAAGAAGAAGAAGAAGAAGAAGAAGAAGAAGAAGAAGAAGAAGAAGAAGAAGAAGAAGAAGAAGAAGAAGAAGAAGAAGAAGAAGAAGAAGAAGAAGAAGAAGAAGAAGAAGAAGAAGAAGAAGAAGAAGAAGAAGAAGAAGAAGAAGAAGAAGAAGAAGAAGAAGAAGAAGAAGAAGAAGAAGAAGAAGAAGAAGAAGAAGAAGAAGAAGAAGAAGAAGAAGAAGAAGAAGAAGAAGAAGAAGAAGAAGAAGAAGAAGAAGAAGAAGAAGAAGAAGAGAAGAAGAAGAAGAAGAAGAAGAAGAAGGAAGAAGAAGAAGAAGAAGAAGAGAAGAAGAAGAAGAAGAAGAAGGAAGAAGAAGAAGAAGAAGAAGAAGAAGAAGAAGAAGAAGAAGAAGAAGAAGAAGAAGAAGAAGAAGAAGAAGAAGAAGAAGAAGAAGAAGAAGAAGAAGAAGAAGAAGAAGAAGAAGAAGAAGAAGAAGAAGAAGAAGAAGAAGAAGAAGAAGAAGAAGAAGAAGAAGAAGAAGAAGAAGAAGAAGAAGAAGAAGAAGAAGAGAAGAAGAAGAAGAAGAAGAAGAAGAAGAAGAAGAGAAGAAGAAGAAGAAAGAAGAAGAAGAAGAAGAAGAAGAAGAAGAAGAAGAAGAAGAAGAAGAAGAAGAAGAAGGAAGAAGAGAAGAAGAAGAAGAAGAAGAAGAAGAAGAAGAAGAAGAAAAGAAGAAGAAGAGAAGAAGAAGAAGAAGAAGAAGAAGAAGAAGAAGAAGAAGAAGAGAAGAAGAAGAAGAAGAAGAAGAAGAAGAAGAAGAAGAAGAAGAAGAAGAAGAAGAAGAAGAAGAAGAAGAAGAAGAAGAAGAAGAAGAAGAAGAAGAAGAAGAAGAAGAAGAAGAAGAAGAAGAAGAAGAAGAAGAAGAAGAAAGAAGAAGGAAGAAGAAGAAGAAGAAGAAGAAGAACGAAGAAGAAGAAGAAGAAGAAGACGAAGAAGAAAGAAGAAGAAGAAGAAGAAGAAGAAGAAGAAGAAGAAGAAGAAAGAAGAAGAAGAAGAAGAAGAAGAAGAAGAAGAAGAAGAAGAAGAAGAAGAAGAAGAAGAAGAAGAAGAAGAAAGAAGAAGAAGAAGAAGAAGAAGAAGAAGAGAAGAAGAAGAAGAAGAAGAAGAAGAAGAAGAAGAAGAAGAAGAGAAGAAGAAGAAGAAGAAGAAGAAGAGAAGAAGAAGAAGAAGAAGAAGAAGAAGAAGAAGAAGAAGAAGAAGAAGAAGAAGAAGAAAAGAGAAAAGAAAAGAAGAAGAAGAAGAATAAGAAGAATAAGAAGAAGAAGAAGAAGAAGAAGAAGAAAGAAAAGAAAAAGAAAGAAGAAGAAGAAGAAGAAGAGAAGAAGAAGAAAGAAGAAGAAGAAGAAGAATAATAAAGAAGAAGAAGAAGAAGAAGAAGAAGAAGAAGAAGAAGAAGAAGAAGAAGAAGAAGAAGAAGAAGAAGAAGAAAAAGAAGAAGAAGAAGAAGAAAAAGAAGAAGAAGAAGAAGCAAAATGTGCAGGTTCTGCGAAAAAGAAGAGGAAACATCAATTCATGTTCTAAGTCTGTGTAAAAAACTGGGCTAGATTAAGGCTTTTGGCCACTAAGATGTAGAAAAGCCAGGACGGATATAACTATATGCGAGAGGACAAAGACAATAAAATAGCGTGAAGAATAAATAATAGGGGAAAGAGGTTACTTTGTTTGCTCCGGTATTGCAATATCTAATTGAAGTATCTCCGTAAGGGTTGCATGTGATATGCTTCGTAGAATAGTATGGAAAATAAGTTGGTCTGTATATCCGTCAATATAAATTAGAAGTCAGTTTGATCCAGTCTTCGAGGCGAAACCAAGAATGGAAGAAGCAATACAGAAAATATGAATGTACGATTATTCTTATCTGTTACTAAAATTCTAGGGCAGAAAAAAACTACTAAAATAAAGTAGACAGGTGATTAAAATATAAACCTAAACTATACTTGCGTTGAATAACTCTAACCACCAATGATTGTAGAGAGGCTTAGAAATAAAAATTTATTAAACTGTCTAAAGGATTATCCACAAAATTGTGATGAATTGTTCTCTAGGACTATCAACGATTACTTTTGACGGGAACGTATTTTCTTAAAATCATAAAAATCTGGATAATCCGATGGTGCAAACTTACATTAAGACTTTTCTTTTTTAGAACTGGAAACGGATAATTCAAATGGAAAGTATTTCAAAGGTGGTAACTCCGTTGCACCTAATTATATGCTGGACTTACAGTCAGTATTTTAGACCAATCACTGGCCGAGGAAAAAAAATAGCTGTGATTGTTTTTTACCCTAAACGTTATTTTTTTTTTGATAAATTAAAAAATAGTAGTTTATGTTACAAGGACGAAAAGTTAAATTTTTCGGGCGACTACTAAAAGCTTGCAAGGCGAGACATTGTCGAGCCTGGCAAGAAGTCCGAGGGAAAACACTTTTCGTACATTGTTTTTATTCGAATGTGCTTAGATTTTAAAAAAATATAGTAAATTAAATCTGAAATAATATTTTCAACAATTTGTCTTTAACTGAATTGACTATGGTATCAATTGAACAATGTGTATCGTGTAAATGTGCTAATGTTAAATTAATTTAATTACCTAGTGTATTGAAAATTGGTGTCAAAAAAATTATAAACAAGAGTAGTGACGAATATTTCATTATGGACACGCACACATTTGGCGTCTTTGAATTTGATTCCAAAAAATCAAAATGGTATACGAAAGAACCTATCTCAGATTTATATACTTAATTTTAGAGGCCATGGCCGATATAGTAGTTTGTGCAACAAGAGTGGATATGATGGCCATATCGCACGAAGACGAAATATGAGCACGACGGCGTAGGCGGAATGCTCAATAGTTTGAGTGCGCTATGGATAATCCATTCAAGTTTTACGTATATATTTTTCTTTACGACCCACTAACGAAAATCTACAAATATTAATAATTATTTTAGGTTATTAAGATAAAATAATTAATTGAAAATATTATGACTTTTACTAATGTATAAAATAAAAATAAACAAGAAAAATAAAGTAAAGAAATTGTTTAATTTTTCCCTA